CCATCAATGGAACCAGCGAGTTATAGTTTGCAAACAGACTCACGACTAGCTTAATTCGTTGTTGGAAGTCCATCAAAAGCATGTCTGGCTTTTTGGGTCCAGGTGCCTGTGCATGATTGACATTGCAAAGCAGCAACATAGGAACTTTGCTTCGATTTTTATGTGCAAAAAAAAACCTCATGATAAGAATGAGAGTCCACCTTCATATCAGATATTTAGCTAAGTCATTTGGTGAATTTGTGCAGCATTTCATGTTAGCAACATTTGCTCTGAATTCACCTCTATGGTACAGCTACAAACCACTAAAAGAAAGCAAATTGAAGTAGCGGACACTACCAAAAATTTGATCAGCTGTGAAAAATTGCTTCTTAGTGGCAAATCAACAGCGCCTTACTTACAAATCTCTCTTGATTATTGGCATTAGCAATTTGTATGCAGCAAATTATGCAATGAGGTAGAGTGTTTTGTATGGTAATTCAATGCAACTGGTTGCAATGCACCACAACAAGTAGTATCACAACAAGTAATATCAAGCCACTGTGTGTTTTGTATGATGTGCATGTTATTAGATGACATAACAGATGTTAACACACGTGCTTTAATGGACTTCAACACTACAACGTACATGTAGCACTTACTACTGTAAGAGCCGTTGTAAATTTGTCCAGGTTCATCCCCAGTGGATTGCCCCAGCCACGAACACAGTCACTCATTTCCTCAATAACCAGTCTAGGGGTGTTTTTTTTTCTGAGAACTTGGATAGGGTTGAGGGAATTGAGTGGGGTACTCCAAAAACAGAAACTATGTGCAGTGAACTCTATTCTGTAAGGCTGAAGCAGAAGTCCTTGCATATAGCAAACTGTGGATTTGGCTTTGTGATAGACTCTCTAGCACAAGAGGGGTGTGGTGACAGCAGCCCAAAAGCCTCTAAGATATGTCAGCAGTCTGTGCTCACAAAATGTCCAGGGATAACTGGTTGCCTCCTTCCAACTTCCAAGGGACACTTTGATATCAGACTAAATTTTCAGCAGATAGCCCCTCAGTCAGCTCTCAGTAGCTTCAGCTTCCAGGCCCCCAGGTTGCCCACCTGAGGCCTCTTGAACAGTGAGCACATGGCAGTGTTGCTTGCCTTGGAGGGTAGCCGCCCTCCAGGCTGGGTGGATCCTTAACATGAAAAGACCCAGAGCTCAGTGTGCTCAAAGAATATATACAGCTTCCCAGCAGCTTTCAGGACTCTGCTCCTTGGGATTGGCCAGGACTGTGTAAATATTAATGCTGCCATCTGCATAACTCCACACCTATAATCCAGAAAGTTCCACTGATCTATGGAAAGCAGAGGGAGCTATCAAACTGGCAGCAGCTGAGAACACTGAACAAACCTAAATAATCGATTGCAGCCACACTGGGTACAGTAAGGAAAAATACATTTACCTGACAAAAAATACAGCTCCACTGAATACGGTGAGCCAACACTAAACCTAACTAATTCTAGCACCTACTGTATCTAGGAGGGTGCTACACTCAGTAACACAGCACAACACACAGCCTGACCCAGTTACCTCCTGTGCTCAGGCCACTGATTTTGCATAGACTATTTAATGCAGAACACTGCAATGCATGTCCACTCAAGACAAATGTTCTGGACGTGCCTCAACATGCATCAAGGTACGATAACATGTTTCCTCAGGGCTTGTTCACACTGTCACGTTTGGGCAACATTGCCCAGTGTAGACCCAAAGCAAGAACAAGGAGAATAGCCTTATGTCCTATGGCTGAAAAAACACACTGCAACATAAAAAAAAAAAATGCATTGTGGTGCAATTTTAAAATTGTATATGCTATCATGTGAACAATCCATAAAAGTTCTGAATTAGATCAGCCACTACAAGTTCACTATTACCTTTAATAGTCAAAAGGCCTCCTCTATGTCCCTCGCTGATTTTGTTTTACTAGGTCTTAGTTTTCTCTGATTCATGGCTAACATTCACTAACTGGCACTCCTGTGTCTAAGAAGAGTGTCCTTATTAGCCACTAAAGCAGGGCTAGGCAACCCTAAAGAGGTGGAGATCTACCTGAACAACATGAGAGAAGTCAAAGAGCACAGGGCACAGTGTCACCTCCTCACACCTGATTAAGGCTCTTCACACTAGCCTTGTGTGCAGGCGGCAGAGAGAGGCGTTTGGGAAGCGTTTTTACCGCTTCCCAAACGCCTCTGCCAACTCTGCACATTACAGCACATGGTGCTGTTCTAACAGGAGCGTTTGCGTCGCGTCGCGTTGCGTCGCAGCAAACGGACGCCTCTGGTCGAGTCAGGCTTTGAAGCCTCCTATTCTCGTCTATGGTGCCGCTCCGCAAACGCCCGGCCGGCGTTTGCGGTGCGGTTGCGACGCGGTTGCGGGGCGTTTGCGGAGCGGTAACACCACTCAAATGCATTATAGGCGTTTGTGGGGCGTTATTAACGCTCGGCAAACATTTGCGGAGCGTTTGCCGAGCGTTAAAAACGCTCCGCAAACACCGGACCAACGCTTGCCAAACGCTATAGGGGCGTTTGGCAAGCGTTGGCAAAACAGCCTAGTGTGAACGAGCCCTTAAGCCTCTAATTGCCGTACTACCGTGTTGAAATCATGTGCATTGCACAGCAATCATAGGTTTAAATCAGGCATTGAGGAGGCCACATATCGCCTGCTCACCACCTGTCAAACACACTTAAACTGCTTTTCAGAGGAGCAGCAGTGCCTGCTTCACTTGTGAATGAGCTCTTTGTTGCATTCAGCAATGGCACCCTTAAGGGAGTGGTAAAACCCTGCTGTTGAGTTAGGGTTTTACTGGCCCCAATCCCTACCCCCTTTAGCTGCTGAGATATCAGCCAAAGGTGTACACATGCCACAACAGGAATCCCCTGTTGCTTTTGGTGGGTGATACCACCTGCCAATAGCGACCCATTCAAGTAAATGGGGCCACTCTGCAAGTGCCCTGCAACTGTATGCTTCTGCGGGGCTTAGGGGGTTAAAGCAGGTGATGAGAAAGCAACATAATGCTGCTTTAACCCCTTGTTTGTTATACTGTACAAGATTGCAGGGCACTTGCAGAGTGGCCTCATTCACTTGAATGAGTTATGCTTGGCAGGTGCTACACCCACACAACTATGATAGGGCGTATAACTCCTGCTGTGAATGCAACATGTGTACACCCCTGGCCACTGCAGCTAAAGGGTGTGCGGTTGGGGCAGGTGGTAGAAACACAACTTGACTATGGGGTTTTACCACACCCCCAAACTGAAAATGTAAATGAACCCTTACTGTTCTGAGCCCCCTGTAAGGCTGCTTTCACACTGATGTGCTGGGGTTTACCTGCACCGTGGGAGCAGCGCAGTGCATCTGCGATTTTCCTGGGTTAACTGGACTTTTCCTTACACTTCTATTACATCCTGCAGGTGTGGTTCTCTTGCTGAAACTGCACCAAAACCAGGAGTTTTGGTGCGATTTCAAAAAGTGCACCAAATCTACAGGATATAATAGAAGTCTAAGGCTAAGTATCAGCAAACCTGCAGGAAAGCTGTAGGTACACTGCACTGCACACGCGGTGTGGGTAAACCGCAGCTTATCAGTGTGAAAGCAGTCCTATACTATTATGCACAGGGTATTGCTTCACACTGACCTGCAAACTTCTCTCCTGCTGCTGGCACCACTCTGGAGACCTCTAGCTGGGATAAGAGGTGGAGTGCAGTTGGTTTCACTCCACATGGGAGAGGAGCTGGCACTACAAAGGAGGCATCTGCTTATGCAGCTCCTCCTTTACAAGTAGCATTGCACTCTGATGCTCTGGGATGGTAGGTCAGCAAGCCCAGACCACGATCTACCAGTCACCTGGCCAAGATCTACTGGTAGACCGCGATCTCCTGGTTGCTGACCACTGCAGTAAAGCAATTTCAATGGACATTGGAATGGCATATGGAAACGTTTAGGAATTCCATGTCATAAATTCAGTAAAAAAAAATTGATTCCCAAAAACAAAGTGAAGCTAAAACACGTAGGGGTACATAAGAAGCTTTTCTGTCTAATAAACTAGCATAACATGGAATACAGAGCCACCCTTCATTTGGACCCAAAGTAGCTGTGCTAGAATAATGTCAATTTAGAAGTCTTTTTCAGGAGGAAACTCTGTAGAACTAAGTATAGACTTAGTTCCAACCTTCCAGATTTAGGCAGGACTGTCCTGGGATTTGAAATAAAATCCAGGGTCCAAAGGACTCAGGTTCCAGCATTGCACAAAGTCGCAAGGGATGTCTTGGTATAGATGTAAGCTGTGTACCGGGGTGGGCTTCCCAGGATACAGTGAAGTCAAACGAGGAAAGCAACCCCAACACCAGCTTTTGCCACAACAGAATTTTACTTAGATGTGGCAAATAAGCACAACCACAAATGCTGGAAACATACAATAAATTTACATACACCCAGCCCAAAGGCTGAGACCCTTGTGCTGCACAGCACGGCGCCTTCTGATGGATGAAGGTAGAAGGTGTAGTAATTTACCTACTGGCGGGTACAAATAAGCTGCCACACCTTACCTGTTATGACCCTAAAAGAGCAGGAATCAGTGTATAGGTGTACGGTATGGGCTAGCCTGCGGTGCAGCACAACAGCTTACAATCTTACACAAATCTACAGTATTCCCCCTCCCATAACTGGTCCTGTAGCACGTGCCTGAGTATTACTTCTGAGCAAAACGCCAGTCTGGCTTGAGTTTGTAGGATTTTATCAGCTCTCCAATGTGAAATGTCACTTTAAGTTGTGGAGTCCTTCCAATAATCAGTAACAACACTTGTGGCCTGACACAAACAGAGACCCTAACTAACTAACTATAGGCCTGGACTCAGTCTCAAGGCGCCAACACTGAAATGAGGTGCGCGCACGATCTTACCGACCAGGGTCTGCTTTTCATCCACTGGTGACTCTGAACAGAACAAATGTCTCTCCAACAAGCATGCGGTCTTGCCGTATATGTTGCTTAGTTCCTCTCCAACAAGCATGCGGTCTTGCCGTATATGTTGCTTAGTTCCTCTGCTCTCATAAGCCTTCCTGGCAACAATCTCATCAGCATTCCTGGCAGCAATCTCATCATCTTCCTGGCAGCAATCTCATCAGCATTCCTGGCAGCAATCTCTGGTTACTGAGGGACGCTTTCACACCTGGATGTCATCAGATTCTCAGCTCACACGGCCCCTTATTCACCATGCTCCAAAACATAGCTTCTCTCTCTCTTTTCTGTTCTCTCCAACTCTGTGTGCAAAACCCCACCTCTGCATGAATATACAGATATCTATGCAGTCTGAGGCTGTGTTAGAAAAACAGTGACATCTTGTGGCTAAACCGCAGAATGTCACTCAAAACATTAATTTACTTCCACACAAACAGTGTTCAAACAATGAGAGCTGTTTCCTCATCTCACATAGACTCCATGTTAGCTGCTGTTCTGGTCTGAGGTCTGAAGGAGTTGTGGAGGGGTGTGGGTGCAGATCTAACGTCTGAAGAGGGACTGATCTTGTGTTTGAAGTAGAGCTTAAGGAAGACTGGTCAGAATAGAAGTGTATAGGGGGTGTTGATCTAGGAACTGAAATGAAGTGTAGCGGGTCTGATGGGGCTGATCTGAGGTCTGAAAGGAGGCTAATTGTTGTTCTAGCACTGACCCCCGCATTTTTTTTTACTTTCCCTGTCTACAGACATTAAAGACCTTATTTTCTTCCCATCAATGTCAAGGCATTTTATCCTCCCAATAGCCAATAATGGCAGGCATGTTTCTTCTATCGGCCCATGATGCTGGGCATTTTTATTTCACTAAACCAAAGACACCAGGTATTTTTTTCCTACTTACCAACAATAGCATGGACTTTTTATTCTACCATTCACTAGCAGCAGTGGAATAGTTTGTTTTCCTCCTACTGGCGAATGGTACCAGATATTTCTTTCTCCCATTGACCACCAGCTCCTGGCATTGTTTTCTCTTTCACTGACCAGCACTGTAAGGGGCACTATATAACATAATCATAAGCACTCTGCTTATGTCAAGCCAAAACCTTTTTTTTTTTTTTTATGGGGCTTCTTTCGAGAAATGTACCCTTTTACCAGTCAGGACATGAGGATAGCTCTCTAACAGCAATGCAGATAGAAATAAAAATGTTTTTCTTTACTAGAACAGGGGAAGGCTAGAAGCTATAGCTGTAATTATACTGCATTCTGCTATAGAATATGTGGAAACAACCACAGTTGGTTAGGAAATAGTAATGTAAGGGGGCACTCTGAAATGCCCCTGTACATTGTCAGGGCTAAAGTGCTAGTAAAGATCAGAACACAATTCAATCAGTTGACCAACTGTGATGAAGAGTTCTGGTGCTGCAACTCTAGTCACTGTCTGCCAGAGGATTAGTCTACTGACTAATTGTGACTGCTTAGTTCCAGTGCAGATCACTGACACCATCCACTGTCCACCAGTTTCCCAATACTTTGGAAGTCAGTGACAAAACACTGTGCAATCACTATTTGGTTGAATGGAAATATTCTAACCAATCAATTGAATTTCAACTCATTATACTTACACTAGATCTGACCACCAATGTAAAAGGGCACTTAGAGTGCCCCTTGTAAACATAGTCTATGTGTACATGGGCTTTGTTTATATCAGAACTGTTCTTATCACCATTAAAGTCAATAGGAATACAAAAGCAGCTTGAATCAGGTTAATGCAGCTTAAAAGAAAAAGGTCAAATGAGTGACAAGAAGGTAAAGTCATGGAAAATAGTTTCGGGCACCTTGGAAAGCAATGTATTTCTCACGAAAACGTTATTGCATAACACATGTTTTGCTTATAAATGTTTATTCCCTGTGTGTGTATTGGGAAAAAAAAAAAAGGAGGAAGAAAGCTGCGTGTGGGCTATATAGAATTCACACCCTGAAAGCAGATAAAATGGAAGAGACGTTCACTTAACCTTTGCATTGGGTGTCTCGTCTGTGCCAACTATGCATGGGACAACCAGAAAGAGGAGTCAAGTCAAATATACCTGTTTGTAGGCAAGGGGGGTAGAAACAATACCAAATTAAAAAAGAAAAAAGCGGGATGGCAAAGAAGCACTTACAAAAAACACCAAAATGTCAGCAGCATATCCCACCCAAAATAAATTTTTTTCAGGCAACAATAATCCTAAATAAAAAGGTATGCGCTAATAACAAACTTATACAAAGGTGTATATTATCATCATCCAAAAAACATTAGTGTTTTAAATAAATAATTATAGTGTCCAAACATAAATTAGTGTCCAAAAAATATATATATATCTTCAGTGACTTGAATCAATTGTGAAAAATCTACCACCAAAGGAGATTAAATGAACTCACCAGAGCTAATGGCTGGTCAGATTATAAACCAGCAACAGCGCTTGTGCTCTGGGAGCAATGAACCCGATGTCCAAATAGATATGGTGATGTTTCAGATACTTCCAGATAATAATAATCACAGACAAACAACTTTGCAGCCCAAGCTCTTATGATGAACTTCTCCACTCTTTCTCATACCTCCATGAGAGCATGCAGTACACTCAGGGACAAAAAAGAGAACATAATGGTGCAATACGTTTTTTTCATTTATCTCTTTAAAAAAAGGTATAAGGAAACTCACAAACAAGGTGTCCAACAGACACCAGCTTCAATCGCAAAAAAGGGTTGAGATACAGTTAACGCTCACCGCGGATATCTTCCCATACAGCACAGAACAGCAAGGCTCTCTAACGTCCGCGTCGAGTAGGCTATGCCCAACCGGTTTCGTCACACCGACGTCATCAAGACCGCCCCTTGATGTGTCCCAGGGAGCACACACAGGCAGTGAATGCGGGGGGCCATTTTTGTACATAGGCCAGACGGGAAGTGTTTAATATGGACTTTGTATGCTTGGAGTCTTTTCTTAAAACAGCTCTTGTCCCCACATCCCTAATCCTAATTCAATCTATGTGCTTCTCTGGCATGTCTGCAATAGGTAGAGTCCATGTACAGACAGGAATCCATCGGTGGCATTTCCCAGCAGCTGGTATCTTCAGGGGTGAACTCCAGGTCCTGATGACCTCCTACATTGTGCAGGACTCCAAGATGGCAGGAAGGTGGCTCTTTCAGGCCAAGGACTCACACAAGAGCAAGCGATTGAGCTCTCTGCCCTACACCACTGTCCCTCTTTTATATCACAGGAGCAGTGGATTGGACCCAAGGAAACCCACCAAGCAAAAGACTCGGGAAAAACATTAATCCTCACCCTCCCCTGCAGGGCATCGCCTAACTAGGAGATACTTCAACCTGCCTACATGTTAATCACCTCCAAAATGTCTCAAACTCAAACTGAAAGCAAGCTGCATTTCCCTATTGTGATATGGGGGATGTTTAGCTTAGTGATAGATGCAACTTTTATGCAGTAAGTCCATGTCACACTGGCACTATAGTTAAGGGCCTGGTAGCCCACTTTTATTAGAAGGTAGAAAACAAAAAACAAAAAGTCCAACCAGGATTCCCACACTGGGGTTTCAACTTCATTCAGCAAAGAAATGAAAATACCAAGCCACCTGTTTAGCAGTACCTCTGCTTGTTTTTTGGTTTTCCAGACCACTTTCTATTCAAGTTCTCTCTCTCTCTGTAAGTAGGTGACAGAAACTTGCTGTTCAGGCCCACAAGGCCTCTTGACAGGGTTTTGACAGTATCTCCAGCTTGCATCCCCCCAGAGACTTCCAGATTCTCTCAAGCCCCCCTGGAGTCATTGGCCTCCACGGCTTTGTCAGTCTTCCAGACCCTCTCTAGGTCTCCTAGACTCTCAGCGCTGGCCAGACTTTCCCAGCCCTTGGGCCCAGAATCCCCCTCACATGAATTGTAGTCTCCAACAGGGTTTCACAGCTGTCCTGACAGGGCTTTGTTCCCAAGCAACTCCACCCACTGCTCTCACAAGCCCATCATTATAAGGGCTGTGTGCACCTGGGAACACACCCTGCTGGTTATCCACAACACCAGGTTGGAGATTCCATCCCATCCAAGACTCTTAGGAGTCTCCAAACTACAGAGCCCCATCCGGCAATACCAAGATCCAGAGAAAGCTGCAAAATCAGTTTTCTCCACTCCAAGTCTATGCTCCATAGCATTGCAGCAAGAAAACATGGAAACTCTGTGTCTTTACCCGGGCCATTTTCATAGTGACAGAGCCTCACACTGTCACATCTACACTAGCCATACCACAGATCTACAATCTAAGGGGGAGTAGGTTTAAAGTACCCCCTAACAATAGCAGTCAGTGAAAGAACACCGATTATATACATGTAGCGCCACCCTCGTGAGGGCCACTTGTGTTTTTGCCCAGTTCTACCCTTGCTTCAGCCTGCAGGCAATCACAAAGTATTTTCGACAGCCAGGTACACACACTCTTTTGCTCATTGTCTTCAATAACCAGTATAGGGGATGTTTGTTTTATGAGTTTTATTGTGGACCTGGGGATAGGGATGTGGAATGTAGTAGGATACTCCAAAATTAGAACAATTCACACTGAAGGCATCTAGCTTATCTCTTAGTTGAGAACTGTTGAAGTTCTGGCTGAAAGTAAATAGCAGACTTCTCTTTAAATTGTAGCAACAAGTTTTTTTTTTAAGTGAGCAAAGTCCCTTTTTTGCAGTAGTATTACAGGGCTGAGCTCCTGAGGTACAAAAACCAGTTACTACAGTCTGTGACAGCTCAAAGGTAACTTACAGTAGCTGAGCAAAAGTCCTTTGCAAAGGTAACTTAGCTGGGCAAAAGTGCTGTGCAGTAGCAACAGTTGGACAAGCTCTTCAGAACACTAGCCAGTGTTCCCTTTCCTTTCCAGACCCACGCTGACTATCAAGCACCAGGGATGTAGTATGCACACAGAATCCCCAAATTTCTCAATGCCTGTACTCACAAGGCACAAGGACAGGATGGTTGCCTCCTTCCAATCATCCAAGCAAAACTCTCCAGCGATACTAGACAGAGCTTTAGGAGACAGCGCCCCTCAGTTAGCATGGCTTGGTTCAATCCTCTCCCAGTTAAGACACTGAACCCAAGTGCTTATAGAACATAAATAACACTCCCAGAATGCAGTGGGACTGCCTTCCCTTGCAATTGGCCAGGGCTGTATCCATATTCATGCTGCTAATTTGCTTAGTTCCCTCCCAGGTTCTGGAAGGCTGTCAAAGCTTCCTGAAGGCAGGAAGAACTCAAGGCAAACTCAGCAGCACAAGAGCATCATGAGGAGGCCTGACTAATCTATCACAGCACTCTGTTTAGCAGAGAACCTAACTAG